ATCAATACTTTTTTAAATATCGATTTTTTTAAAAACGTCCCATAAATGGGACGCTAGCAACGAACGGCCCCATGTACATTTATTGAAAAATAAAATCATTTATCACGAAATATGGCTAATCACGCGAAAATTAAGCTGTATACTGATTTTGTATTGTTAGACCAATGATTACATTGTTTAGGACAGCTAAAAATACTGATAATGATCAATTGGGTTAGCCATAACATGGTCTAAAATACAGAAATTATGTTCAAAAGTCTAGTTTTCTTTCAATCTAGCATCCATCAAAGTGAACACCACTTGGAAATAAGTAAAGCTGTGACTGGTGCATATAATTAGACACACATGATCCCAAATATTGTTATTATTCATCGAAACTATAATATAATTAAATATAAATAATTGATTTTTTGGGGTGCGTACTTGAAATTTGCAAGGAAGTGGGGGGGGGGGGGGGGCTTAAATTTCAGGGGAAGGGTGGACATTGGTAAAAGTATGTTTTGTATATAAATTCCATTTTCTTCTGGGGGCAGGGTCCCCCCCCCCTCCTCCGAAATGATGCCTGAAAGAAACTCTGCCCTCAGTGAATTTGCAAAAGATGATCCGGTCCAGTCCCAGATGTCATCCAGCCATCTTCTCTTTTGTTACCCTCGCTATCCCCCCCCCCCCTCACAGGCGTACATTAGGACATCAGACATCTTATTTCTAGGGCACGGATCCGTGTCTGGGGGCTTGTATTGAGTGTTCATGGCTCTCATCCATGTATGCACCTCACTATGCGAACGGCTCACAATCTAACACCAGAAATCTCCTTAAAAATTTAACAATGTAAAACTGGTATTGGGAACCTTTGGAGGGGAATATTATTGGGGCATGACAACTGTACACAGCTAATTCACATTCCCGCTATATGTAGCTTAAGCTCTCTTATATGCAGAGAGTTAACCAACCCCCATGACTGAATCGTTTCACCTAAATCGTGACCATTGTTATTATTCTGGTTTGTTATAATTTTAATATCACGCGCTAGTAAATATATAGCAATACTAAATTAGTTTGTATTCAATGGTATTAAATACTTCAGTAAGTATGATTCTGGAAACTTAAAAATAAAATGTAAGTTTTTCAATATTTGCAATTTTTAGTACAATAATATACAAGAAAATATAGCTCAGGTCATAATTAAATATCTATAAATACTACTTAACACGCCAAAGTCAACAGTTAACAAAGTCAACAACTGTTTCACCATAAATAACCATTTAACATAAATATTTGCATCTGTGTTTCTCGCTAGTGTCCAATAAATGTGACGTTTGTGTAACAATCTGCATAAATATAGGTCAAGGTCATAATTAAATATCTATAAATACTACTTAACACCCCAAAGTCAGCAGTTAACAAAGTCAACAATTGTTTCACCATAAATAACCGTTTATCATAAACATTTGCATCTGTGTTTCTCGCCAGAGTCCAATAAATGTGACGTTTGTGTAACAATCTACATGGGGCCTTTCGTTGCTAGCGTCCCACTTATGGGACGCTTGTTGTACACTTGATATAACGAAGTAGTAAAAAAAAATTGTTATTCTTAAATTTTTATCAGATAGAAATATGGTACTGCTACAAGTTTCAAATGTATTTTGCACTTAAAATGTTAATATTTTAGAAGATATGCATTTTCCTGTGCGCATGTTTTCTTTTTTCCGCCATTTTGACAAGTCCTGCAAATCCGGCACTATAACATTTTTCTATATAATTGTTTTTCACAAAACACACACAAATTCAATAGTCTATCCATTTTCAAATACAATGAAACATAATTTGTGTTTTAACTAGTTTTCAATAAATTTTAGCAATTTTTTTTACAAGCGTCCCATAAGTGGGACGCTAGCAGAATATGGGTTAAGGATCTGAATAACAGCATAATACTTTCAGATTCCAATTCAAAAATAGTTCCATTAAATCATGTCAAAACATCCATTGAAAGAGGATTTGGTGTTAATGACAATGTGTATCTGAGAAATTATGGGAGAAGGGAAAAATGGATACCAGGTCAAATTGTTCAATGTTCAGGACCTGTGTCTTATAAAGTAAAAACAAATGATGGACTTATTGTCCGTAGACATGCAGACCAGTTAAAAATTACTTGTGCAGATAATAAGTGTGAATCTGTCAATCCCACCAAATCTGAACAGTTCACACCAACTCAGTTTGTTCCACAACCAAGTTCTGTTGATATGAGTGAACCAAGTTGTCTAGAGTCAGAAAATGTAAATTCTGGAGTTAATGATTTAAATCCTAGACCTCCTGAGATAGAGAATCCATATGGTCAGAATCTTGAGTCACCAAATCAAAAGCCACTGAGAAGGTCAAGCAGGACAATCAAAGTCCCAAATAAGTTAGACCTCTGATTTTAAAGGTCAAAAGGACTTTGACATCATTGTTTTGTATTTTAATTATGTTGTAACATATTGTGCATTGTTTGTAAGGATGTAATCTACCATAGTGTTCATGTTACAATATAATTGGTGATTTTAGGATGCTGTCAATTGTTCTATTGAGAGATGTGTTGTGTTTACTAAGGGTAAAGGGATGTAATATATTGGGATTTGTGAGGTCAGGGGAACTCACTCTTCTTGTATTAGTTATATTTATAATGTTGTTATTGAGTGATGTCCCTTGTATTTATCTATTGTTACTTCCTGTTCCGGTCTTCCATCATGTAGTCGAAGGCCCAATAAAATCTATATACAAACAGCATGGCTTCTCGTCAGTGTGTTATAATAGAACCACTCCAATCCACCTCAGTCAAAGTGTGTATAATAAAATCTTATCTTTATTAGCCTTATCTAGCGCTTAAACTAGAAGTTGTCAGGCAGGAAACGTTTCTGCATATTAACTATACCCCCCCCCCACACACACACACACACACCTTCTACTTCAAAGATAACGCGGTGAGGTATTTAAAATAATCATTTATGTCTTTAGTTACAGACATACCTAGAGATACATGAAGATCAGATAGGGTGGTGGGTGTCAACTTTTTCTAAACAATTGTATTTAAACCAGTCTAAGTTTTTATGACACATGTTTGTGGAGATCAAAATGTTGAGCTAATTGTTTTCTATTGGACATCAATAATAGAGATAAATTAAACCCAGCCCTAAGTAAGAGCAACATTTTACCACCTGAGTCGCAGCCGTAATTAAATGGGCACATTATGGTACAAGTGGGACCGAAAGGGGATTGGGGATTCACGGGAATTCTTTTCAGACGTGAAAAGTAAAAGAAAAACTACCATTTTGGCGATTTTGTCTTTGTGTGATTTAATTTTAGTTTGACGTTCATTTTTACTTTCTCGTATATACAAAGTATAGAGAAAGTATTGTAATCATGCACAAAAATCACTTGAAATTTTAACAATTTTCACCGTATTACACCTCAGTCCTTCATCACATCCGAAGTATAGAGGACAAAAATTATCAATCCAGATTTGTCAAAATTAAGAGGTTTTATGCGTAATCCAGTCTGAAAAACTGAACTTTGCAATTCTGTCCGTATGTCTGTGTGTCTGTGTGTCTGTGTGTCTGTGTGTGTGTCTGTGTGTAAACACGATAACTTGAGTTCCGTTACAGCTAGGTTGATGAAATTTCATATATAAGTATTTTATCAAAATCGTAGATCGGTATCAACTTTTGAGCGATTTCCGACAACCGAAAGTGGTACTTTTTCTACTTTGAATTTTTCAAGAGCCTATAACTTGAGTACTATTTCAGATAGAAAATGAAATTTCACATGTGAGTAAAAGATCTAATTTTCTACCTTCTATTAAATTTTGAGTAATTTCTGTTGACCGGAAGTAGTAATTTACGCTACTTCCGATTTCTCAAAAAACTAATGTAAATTTTTAAAGTACTAATAATATTGCGCACTATTATGCACTTTTTAATTTTACATTCACTTGTTGTGCAATTCTTTTGTCTACGAGATTTTATTCTATTTTTAAAACTTTAAGTATTTAAAATGGAATAAAAATCATGTCTATAGCCCGAGTTCCCATCCCCTGTTGTTTTATATAAGAATATTCGAGAAAGTTTAGGGGAGATCACTCCCGGTTTATTTTTATGAAAGAACTGGGACTTAAAGACGAAAAAATCGCCTTTCTGTGTAGCCTCGTCCCATAGGGCTATAATTTTAATTTAGCAAGACTTTCCTTTTTCCTGTTGTATTTATTCCCCCTTCACACTCCATTATCACCACAACTACCATCACAACCACCGCGATCACCACAACCACTATTCAACTACTCGAGCCCTGCATATAGAACTTGCTTCTGGTTAGGATTTGGATTATCGCAAATGTTTTGTAGCCTGGCTTAGTTTTTGGTGTATACCACACTGGTTTAACTTGCATATGTAGATGTTACATACCCAAGTTGATAATACTAATTTTGACGTAATCATAGTATTGTTATCATTTTTATCAAGCTTTTTGTTTAATATCTTAGCAGTCTGACTATCTACTTATATAAGGACCGAGTGTAAGAGTGAAGCCACATTGAACTTTGAACTTAGGACATAGGTCCGGGCTTCGTTTAAAAGTTGCAATTTTTAATGCATTCCTATCCAATATTAGCATTTAGCTATAGCTTTAATGATATAACAGTTTTTTGTTTCTGGTAGGTAACATTGAAATAGGTTAAATCCGTATCTTAAAAAAGCAAAGTGGTTGATTTTTGGGTTTTTGTTACTCACACTTGTTAGATCTGGTACTTACATGTAAGTTGCAGGAAAATTGTTCTTGATAAAATGTGCTGATCACTCTCTTTTTACTGGGAAAATTACAGTCACCTCAATAATCGTGTTTCAAGTAACCCAAAACTGACCTAGAGTGACCGCGGCCTTGTATAAACTATACATTTTTGGAAGCGCTTGAATTAGATAGCCTAGACTACTAAACCTTAATATTTGGTAAGGAGATAGCTCTGGGAATATAGCATGGATGACGTCGGCATGATGGTGATTGTCGTGGGCGATGTAGGGCACAGGTGTGTGAGTTCCAGAAACTTCCAGGAACAGACGATGTTCGAACAGGTGTCTACCGTTGTACATTTTATGAACCAATCAATTAATTAAAATTATCTATTTTTGTACTAAAACAGCCTGAACATTCTTTTAATATATAATGTTAATTTTGATTAAATAAATGAATGAAAATGCAATTTTTAAAAATAACATGGATAATTAATGTTTAGTTTTAAGTATTTTAAATAGGTATGTAGAAAACAACTGTTTGTTTGTTTCTTTGTTTCTTTGTTTTTTAGGCACTAAACAACACACCATATATTGGATACTGTCCTGAAGTTTCAAGAGCCCTAAAAGTGGCCAGAGAAAACGTCATCAGCTCACACCCAGGCCAGCGACTGTGGGGACGAAACCTCGGCTGTTCATGAAGCGAACAAGATCAAGCTGATTGTGTCTGAGGTTGTTGTCGTCTCAGTTGGTGCCGCTAACCGGACATTCCTTGACCGCCTGGCGTCAAAACCTGACAACGTCTTGACCATCTCTAGTGACCTTGAACTAATGGATAATGGCACTCAACAAATTAAACAGATCACGTGCCGCATTGGTACTGTCATTGTTTTATATTTTCTTATTTGTGTTACGGAAAAAGCAAGAAGTCAGCTCTTCTGCGTAATAGTAGTATATCAGGTCCCTTTTGATTCGTATGGGTGACGCGGAGGCGCAGGGGGAGGCGGACCCGCAAAAGATATATAGTAAAATACTCACTCACCTGGGTGAGGTGGGCGAGGGTGAAGGAGACATGGGTGAGGCGCAGGGGGAGGCGGAGGCGCAGGCGTAAAAGTTAGGGAGTAAAATACTCACCCTCTTGGGTGAGGTGGGTGAGGGTGAATGGTGAGGGTTAGACATGTTATCCAGGAAAAAATATTTTTTGTGACAAAACGGGCATTCAGTATATTAGCGAAAATCGATATTGCTTTTTTTTTTAATTTATGGTGGTTAAAACAATATATGTAAGTCGCTATTTCGTTTAGCATTAGCTATTTAAGTTCTAGAGTCCTTGTTCATTTTTTAAAAGTATGAAACACGGGTAAAAAAGTAGATGAAAGAAATGTCTTTTTGCATTCGTATTTTTAAAAATGTGATGTGGTTTTGTAGTTTAGCGTTTTTTTTATGAAAGTGCTACTAATTATAGAAGTACACTGTATGTAGTGGTAAGTCAACAGGTTGTTAAAAATTAAGATGGAAGAGAAGTAGACGGAAGACTAGTTTTTTTAATACCCAAGTAAATATGACATATTTTACTTTTAGGAAATCAATGGCAGTTTAAATGGCCTACACTAAAAGAAAACAATGTATTCCAATAGTAACGGCACACATTTCTATTCCATCTCCTAATTTTACCTTTTAAAATTGTAATCGTTAATTAAAAATAATTAATCTTGCCACAGCAAGTTCTGTCGGCGCAATATATTTGTGGAGGTACAGACACCGCCGCTGCCCTTACTGAGGCCAGACTTAAAGCCTTCAATGTGGGAGCGAGGCTCTACAGCAAGAAGATCGCCATTGTCGTCAATGATGGTGAGTCCAAAAACACAGCTGAGACAGAGCAGGCGGCTGCGGCTCTGAAGGGTACCGGTGTCCGTGTGATCGCTATAGGTGTGGGCAGCGCCAACCAGGCAGAACTGAGGGCCATAGCAACCACACCTGACGACGTCTACTATGTGGACACGTTTGACGTGTTGAAGACCATCTATGAGAGAATCGCAGAACTTACACAGGTATTTATATATAGAAAATATTTTTTCTGGTTTTTATTGATTAACTGAAATCTATTTTATATATTAGATGAACTTTTGTTTTGCTGGTGTGAAACTGAGAAACTCCAAATTAGGTTACCGCAAATACATGGTAAAATAGTTTTTATTTTATTTTGATTAAAACCCATTACGTTAAACAACAATATCGTATGATACTTTTGTACATAAGTCACTGATGTTAAACATGGATAATCTGACTGAACACTCTTATGCTAAGCTGCGCGGGGAGGGGGATGCTAGTACGAGCGATGTAGGTAGCATAGTTGACAAAAGCAAAAGATTGTGGTACAGAGATGTGTTGTATCGAAAAAATTTTACCGCCCCCCACCCCCCCCCCCCCCGAACGAAATGAAATTTATATAATTTATATAGAAAATATATACTTTTAACAGTGTCCGCCCCCCCCCCCCCCCCGAAGGAAGTTTACCGCCCCCACGAAAATTGAAAATTTCATGTGCCCCTCCCCCCTGGAGAAAAAAGTCTGGAAGAAACACTGGCGGAGAGGGCGTTGGTCGCTAAGGCAGCAGAAGTTTCGCTATCTGCGGGATAAGTTAATATAATTAAAACTTAGAATAAATATACCGGGTTTATAATTTATGGCGTTCCACTCATTAAATGTTCTAATTGGTGAGAGTTTTCTTTTTCACCTGTTTGGTACACCTGCATCACACGTACGACACTGTTAGAAATATATAAAACATCTTTTATAATGTATTAAATTTTTGCAGCATTTCTATTAATTTCTATAATAATATAATTTTAACTAATTAATTACAGATTTAATAATTATCAAATCAATTTTAATGAATATACATTTCACTATTTACTTTAAATTAGGCGAGACGTTGAAGATCAACAGAAGGCATCAACATAAAACTAATGAAGGGGAAACAACTAGAACTAGCTTTTGACATTTTCTACTCGGTTACAACACCTTAATCTTCAACACAAAAGTGAACATAAAACGTCTAGAATCATATACTTAAGTCAGTGTCTATAGCGCAGTCATCTGAAAATTATACTGTCCAAGATTTGTTTAATGAATTAAATTTTATTAGTTCTCATATTTTAAAGAAGATTTTACTAAATGCACAGACATGTAAGAGGGGATCCATGTTGAAGTTACATTTTGTTTTTGTTTTTTAAACATTAGTTACTTATTTTATAACTAGACGAGTATTATATATATATATATATATATATATATATATATATATATATATATATATATATATATATATCTTATTATTTACAAATTTCTTTTTGAGGATGTTTAAAACATGGTCAACCGTTGTTTTTTTTTTTTAATTTAAATAACCGACAATTGTACCAAGGAAAATGTACATGCATACTTTTCTTTACTCAGTCATATTACCAATAAGAGCTTTTATATATTTTATATTTTTGCATTTTCTGTTCTAAAATAGTATTTGCACATTTTTTAAATTATCAGTAAAATGTCATATTATAACTAGAAAATGGTTTAACGGGGGAAAATGTGTTAAATATTACTTTCAAAATATTAGGCCGATTAACAGACAAAAAAATATAGCATGCAATAAAGCTGGTTCTAAATTTCTGTTGCCAAATAGCACATTTTTAAATAAAATTTGAATATTTTATAACAGTTGTGTATTTAAGACAAAATTACTTCTGGATTCAATAAGACTAGAAGTAGTCAAAAAAATTATTACTAGTTATGTAATAGTAATTTAGCAGCACTTTTATTTTTTTTTTGGATTAGTAGCGTCAGGTTGTTATGGTGATTGTGCATGTTATATTATTTGATATAAATACAAAACTACGCTATACACCTTAGATCACTATTGTGTAATTTTATCATTCAAAACAGTTGTTCTTACTTTCATTGTTTTACCATCCTGATTATTCAGGTTGACGTTAAAGAGAGGTTGAGAGCAGTTTTTATAAACATTTGCATTCATAAAATAATTAATAATGGCTTTTCAAAGGCTTATATTTGATACAAAAATATAAAAATTAGTGTAATCGATGGTTCTCAAACGGATTTAATTTTAACAAACGTACTTATAATTTTATCCCTTACCATATTTTAAAAGATACCCTTGAATCTTTTACCCCATTTCGGCCAATCGATCTTCTTGTTTAGCATTTTTAGCATATTTATCATCATATTAGAAGAAAAACATTTAGTATAATTTCTATCATTATTGTTATACTCACTTTTCAAAGAACTGGGCTTTTTAAAAAAAATTTAAAAAAAAAAACCAATAATATTTAGAATGTTTATATTTAGAAAAAAATTGATTTTATAGGTGTTTAAACTATTAGATATTTAGAACTTGAATAAAATATTTGTACCTTTTTTGTTTACATTCATTGATTATCAAACTTGTTTACTTATAAGTATAAATAGTAAAAAAAAAAACCAATGAGTGAACTGATATACTCTCAAATTCAAAACGGATTAGCGAGGGTACTTTCAAATCGCTTCATATTCATGATTTTAAAGATGAATGTATATGAATATATATATATATTGAGAGTGCTAGATCCAGATATCCAACAGGCGCCATGTTTGTTTATATTCTAGAAAAGACAGACATTCAACAGACGCCATGTTTGTTTACATTCTAGAAAAGAAAGACATCCAACAGACGCCATGTTTGTTTACATTCTAGAAAAGAAAGACATCCAACAGGCGCCATGTTTTTTTACATTCTAGAAAAGAAAGACATCCAACAGGCGCCATGTTTGTTTACATTATAGAAAAGACAGACATCCAACAGGCGCCAAGTTTGTTTACATTATAGAAAAGACAGACATCCAACAGACGCCATGTTTGTTTACATTCTAGAAAAGAAAGACATCCAACAGGCGCCATGTTTGTTTACATTATAGAAAAGACAGACATCCAACAGACGCCATGTTTGTTTACATTCTAGAAAAGACAGACATCCAACAGGCGCCATGTTTTTTTACATTCTAGAAAAGAAAGACATCCAACAGGCGCCATGTTTGTTTACATTCTAGAAAAGAAAGACATCCAACAGGCGCCATGTTTGTTTACATTCTAGAAAAGAAAGACATCCAACAGGCGCCATGTTTGTTTACATTATAGAAAAGACAGACATCCAACAGACGCCATGTTTGTTTACATTCTAGAAAAGACAGACATCCAACAGGCGCCATGTTTTTTTACATTCTAGAAAAGAAAGACATCCAACAGGCGCCATGTTTGTTTACATTCTAGAAAAGAAAGACATCCAACAGGCGCCAAGTTTGTTTACATTATAGAAAAGACAGACATCCAACAGACGCCATGTTTGTTTACATTCTAAAAAAGACAGACATCCAACAGGCGCCAAGTTTGTTTACATTATAGAAAAGACAGACATCCAACAGACGCCATGTTTGTTTACATTCTAGAAAAGAAAGACATCCAACAGGCGCCATGTTTGTTTACATTATAGAAAAGACAGACATCCAACAGACGCCATGTTTGTTTACATTCTAGAAAAGACAGACATCCAACAGGCGCCATGTTTTTTTACATTCTAGAAAAGAAAGACATCCAACAGGCGCCATGTTTGTTTACATTCTAGAAAAGAAAGACATCCAACAGGCGCCATGTTTGTTTACATTCTAGAAAAGAAAGACATCCAACAGGCGCCATGTTTGTTTACATTATAGAAAAGACAGACATCCAACAGACGCCATGTTTGTTTACATTCTAGAAAAGACAGACATCCAACAGGCGCCATGTTTTTTTACATTCTAGAAAAGAAAGACATCCAACAGGCGCCATGTTTGTTTACATTCTAGAAAAGAAAGACATCCAACAGGCGCCAAGTTTGTTTACATTATAGAAAAGACAGACATCCAACAGACGCCATGTTTGTTTACATTCTAAAAAAGACAGACATCCAACAGGCGCCATGTTTCTTTACATTCTATTCAAGAGCAGACAACTAAAAGTCTATGTCCATGTACAACCCACTGTAATTTAATCCACCAGAGTTAGCTCTACTGTGGGGATGTTCAGACAAGTCACACTCCAGTCTGTAGACCCCAGCCCCACTGCTACCTGGACAGGTACACGTTGTGTACGTGTACCTGGTAAAGTCACCCACCACCACCTGCCTGTCCACCCAGTGACCTACAGAGACCTGCTTAGAACAGCCATGAGGATGTGACATTATAATGGTCAGCTTGTCCACATCTCCACGACTCTCGTATTTATCACTTACCTTATTACATAAACCATCAAACCTCCTCACCATCTCCTGCAGTTTATCAGCTACATCTACGTCATGTGTCACATAATACAGCAAATACATGTCTTCTTCAGTAAATGACTCATCTACCTTCCACCCATAAATGTTGACCACAACCTAAAGCTGGACTGTCTCGCCTCACTCTCATAAAAAACCACACGTGTAACAAAACAAACGCCCGCCAGACTTTGCTGGGTGTGTCCGAGTGGTCACATTCAGGTTATGGACAAGTTCTGTAGTTGTCCTTCCCGTCTGTGTACTTGATAACCCTTTGCACCTTCCCATTCCCTGTCCACAGTGAGTTCTGTCCCCTGGTGTTGTAGCAAGGATATGGATCTTTAGTGTCTGGACTGGTCAACTTAACGGCTATTCTGACCTTTAGGTCAGCCATAGCTTTTGTGAGGTCGCGTGTTCCAGGATTTTATATCACCTTAGAACCAGGGGAGGTCACTCTCAAAGTCATAAGACTGTTGGTTGAGATATCCCCAAAGTTCGAAATAACCAATTAAAATTATTAGAAAAATTCACCACATAACGTGATGGAAAAATACTGGCGATTGCACCACAGACCACCCAAGGTCCACTATATAACTGAAAAACTAAACAATAAAAAAATAAGACCTAAATAGGTCACAATTCTTTATATCAGTACTATACCATGGATATACACTTGATTAAGTTAAAAGATAATTAACAAACTTACCTGTAACTTGATGCGACAGATCTCTACTGGCCTTTACTGTAGTATTATGGTCATCTGTGGCAGCTGTTTGATTGAAATAACCTTGACCTTCACTTCACATTCAGCACTCTTTAATATCTAGAAATATTTTGACTTTTTAAAAAATAATTTAAAATCAACAACAAAAGCAACTTTACAAGCTAAATAACAATCTACATATACAACTTTAGACCAACATACCAGATAGAGAAACTGATATTTGAACTGTAGACAGCACACCACAGAAAGAACTACAAAATGACAACATATATAGTGGAACTTTCTTTAGTATACAATTCCATAATGACATTTTTTTATTGGACTCTTATGAGCATAGAACTACAGAATGACAACATTTTTGATTGAACTCTAATTAGCATAGAACTACAGAATGGCACCATTTATGATGAGACTTTAATGAGCATAGCACTACAACATTTATAATGGAACTGTTATTAGTGTAGAACTACAGAATGACATTGCATACAATGAATTATGAATAATTAAAAAATGACACAACATGTTTCTCATAATAAAATAAAATACTTACAGTTTAACTGAAGAGGTCAAAGGTTGATCACACAGGGGGGGGGGGTAATGTTTTATCTCCCTGGAGATGTACGTAAAAGTTAAATGCCGGTGTGGAAAGTTAATGAGAGAAATATATTAATTGTAATCATGTTAATTTATATTTCAACAATAGCTTTAAATTAGCTAGAAAACAAAACTTCCGACATGTAAGATGTGAAACAGATAGGGATGTAACTCTGATAGATTGTGTAAAGGAGTTACCTTATCACTGTTATATAGATGTCTGATGTAGTCACGTGTTTTGTGATAAGCATTAAAACATGATAAATCCTAAGTATAAACAAGAAATTAAGACGGTATGGTGCGTGTTTGTTTTGTTCTTTTTTTTTGTTTAATCCAGCTGAACAACGCAAACTAGGATTAGTGGGAAGAGATTGGGTGGGAGGGGGGGGGGGTAAGAGGGTTTAGTTCAAAACTCCCCAAACACCTTCAAAATTAAAGTTGTCCTTTGTTGTTACAGCTATTGGTGGCGATGCGTACGTGTCAGATCATGTCTATTAATTTCAAAGTTTTAAATGAAATACGATCTTATAT